CCACAAAACTTTTTGATGAATTGACAGGAGCAAATGTCTCAAGAGATGCAAGGGAAGAAAATCAAGAGATGAAAAGAGAACATGCCATCAGTCTCAGACTCATTCAACAGAGAGCATGGAAAAGGCGTATAGCTAGGCGATATCATGCTGATGATGCAACCTCAACTGGCATGATGGCTAAAGTGTTGATGTCTGAAAAATACAATCCTGTGGTAATATATAAACCTGTTGGACAAGATGCTGTTGTTGGCCCTGAAGGAGTTAACCATCTTCCACATTCAGATGAACTCTTTTTATTTGGTATTCAGACCAAAGATCAAAGAGACTTGATGGTAGAAGGCAGTAAGAAAATTCTAGTAATGGATGAAACACATGGAATATCACAATATGAAAACCTCAAGCTGCTAACAATTCATGTTGTAGATGAAAATAACAGGGGTTGGCCTGTTGCCCACTTACTCTCTAATAAATCTGATGAGTTCACCCTTGGCTATTTTTTTCAGGCCTTGCTGGAGAGATCACCTGATTGGGAAATCAACTGCACAATAACAGATGATGATCCAGCTTTGATCAATGGCTTAGAGAATGGAGTTGGAGTCAATGTGACACACATCTTGTGCAAGTGGCATTTTCACCAAACAATGCAGCGACAACTGAATGAAAAGGCCCCTAGACTCTTGTTTGATACTATGTACTCAGAAATAAAACTAATTGTTGATGCACCCTCAGAAAATGAACTTAAAAAAATGTTTGATGCATTCAATCGGAAGTATGAAATGTCTGCACCAAAGTTTGTTAAACTCTTCAAAGGGTACTGGCCTCGGAAGGAAAAGTGGGCTATGTGCTTTCGAAAATTCCCTCATGGTAAAGTTGAAACAACAGGTCATGCAGAGTCGTGGCATGCTAAATTTAAGGGAAAATATTTGAAAAGAAGACCTAACAAGAGAGTTGATGATTTAATAAACAAACTTCTTGAGGTAGAACGTCATGATTATGCTGTACGTAGAAGAGCTTTGATATTTGGTTTTTTTGATTCTCCTGAGGAAATTAGCAAACGCCACAAAAATGGTCTGTTGATTTCTGATGAAGACATTGAGCAAGTACTGAGTGACATGTGGACAATTGTATCTGTTAAAGACAAAAAAGTGAAGTATGAATTGAAAAAAATTCAAGACACCTGCTCAAGTGATCACTGTTTTGAAAGGTGTTCAGCTGCTGCCTGTGCTGCGCTATGTGTGCATCTTTTTTTATGCGGTTGTGCAGACAGCAATCCCATGTGCAAGCATATCCATAAATTAAATTCTTTCTTGCAGAGGAACAACATTCTCTCCATGACAGTGGAGGAAGATCCATCTCTTGAAGTTGAATATTTTACAAAACCTGCTGAAAATGAAGAAAGACCACAGCCTGGTGAGATATTCCAGCGGAAATGCTATGCCAGGTTGAAGGAAAACATTTCCTTACTTAGCCAAGCAATTGACAATGAATGCATTCCCCCATTTCTTTTGTCTGGAGTAGATGCTGGTATTGATGAAATTATTAAAAAGTGCAGCTTGCTGTCTGTTGAGAACAATGTTGCAAAGATGGAAGCAACTGTGAAATTTAATCCAAAGCAGAAGCTTGTAACACAAGAGTCTCAGTCACAGAGATTTAAACCATTTAAGAAAGCTAAAAAACGTGTTAAACCAGGCAAGCATAAAACTTCTCCATCAAAAAGGGACGCATTAAAGAAAAATCTTTTATCATATCTCAGTGATGAGGATACTAACAACAAATCTTCTCCTGAGTCTGTTGACACTGAAGAACAAGAAATAGAGGAACAGTACGAAGCCCCTTCACAAACAGCTCTGAAGCAAGAAGTACCTCGTGCTGATCCAAAATCATCCGAAGCAGAAAATAATACCACCCAGACTGTTCTACTAATCAGTTCTCTGCCACCAGACGGTGATGAGGGAATGTTACCAAGGCTCTCCCCAGGCCCCAATGTGCCTCTTTTCAAACCAGAGATAACTTCTGATGAGAGGATGTTAGTGAGCCCTGTATCAGCTACTTTTACTCCTCCTTCAGAAACGGTTGAGTGTCTCAGTGACATTTTGTTACATTGTGGTACTAACAATATCTCACTTCTACACCTCAAGTCACTTGAACCCAATTTGAGTTCTTCAGAAGAAATGGCATGCAAGACTGCAGATAGATGTTTTCAAGTTGGGTGGCTTTACTCAGTAATTATAGATGAATTTTTAAAGATTCTTTGTGCAACCATTAGTGATGTATTTTATGTCGAAACTGCTGGTGCATTATCTCTGGTCCGAGGAAATAAGTTGAGTAGACTTTTGGGAAAGCCAATGCATCAAAGCATATTCCTGTTTCCCTTCAACTTATCAGGAAAACATTGGAAAATTGTTGCCGTCATGGCAGATTCTGGAGAGGTGAGATATTTTGATCCACTTCAGCAACAGCCTACATCTCAAGAGAGGAGACTCATTGATAACATTGTTGGTGTAATGAGAATAGTAAAGCCAACAGTTGCTTCATGGAATTATATTTGTCAGGATTATGACAAGCAAGAAGACTCAATAAACTGTGGAGTTCATATCGCTTGGTTCGCACACCAGACAATTGGAAAAGTCCCTTCCTATGAGCCTCTCGTCCTAGCAAATGAGTACAGAAAGTTTATGTTCTCCACAATTTGCGGTGGTTGTCTCCACTGGACTGCAGATGAGGAAATGTGTGGTAAGTGTAAGAAGAACACTTGTTCCTTAACCACTGGCAGCCAAGATTCATGGATTCAGTGTTCCAAGTGCATGCAATGGTTTCATGATGCTTGTGTTGGAGTCACCAATGTAAATGATGACTTTATGTGTCCTGCACCTGTGTAAAGTCTTTATATTT